GATAATGCTGATCAATCGCTTACGGATGTGGTTACAACACGTATGAGTGCATTGCTTAAAACGAACATGGAGACACCAGAAATAGAAGCCGGTTTCCTAACAGGTATGATTTACTGATAATTTACATAAAGTAATTGGATTTATCAGTATGTAAGCAATAAGGCATATATTTGACACACTGTAGTTTCTGATATCACATTGGAAGTGTTTTGATATGTCTTACAAATATATAACTTAACCGAGTCAAACAAATTAAGAATCAATATTGCTTAGACTTCTCCTTATTTATCAGTGTATGCTACCACAGGTTCTCAAGACGGCTTAGACGGAGATTCGTTGTCAGGTGACACTGCAGCAGTCAAACGAGCATTAGTCGAATCCTTCCAAGTCAAACGTGCTTCACTTAGGGCCAAGTCTGATGGAGCATTTCTTTCTCTGTGGGATATGGGTGGACACACGTCATTTCAGGCTTCACACAACGTCTTTCTTTCTTCACACGGTGTATACCTACTTGTCTTCAGACTGACAGATTTTCTCAAAGACAAGTTGGAAACTGGTAAGTAGATGAACGATCCTTATTATATATTTAGAGTGTATATGGAGAAGTACAGAGATACCTTTTACCATTCATCTTGTACATCACAAATAAATGTCAAAATACGTTTCTCCGTAAAAAATATATAATGTATTGGTGTGTTATCAACATGGAGAATTAAGTCGGATTAAATATATCGCTTATCGAAGACTGTCAATAGAAAGAGGTTTGTAGTTATGATAACACAACATAGTATTTAACTGACGGGGGTAAAAAGCAAAAAAATGAAACTTGTGATATTATTTGATTGCATTTATGAGACGAGAGAAGTGTAAACCGGGTGATGGAACAGTAGAAAGGTAGAACAATATGTATATATTGTAAGGGTGTGAGATAAAAATGTAGTTATTGAATATTGAATATATAAATACTATGTTGATGTGGTACATTGTAACCATAGTATAATTACAAATTGTATTTTGACATAATTACGATAACTTAAGGTAGTGAAGCGGTTTCCTTGCTAAACTGAAGGATAAGTGTGGACTTGTTTTTTTCATTTTGTTAAAAAGTTTTGTAACTTTCTGGTGGGATGAATGTGTGAAAGTAAGCAGATATATAATTTGACGCAATTATTAGCTTTGATTGTAGAGGTAATAATATAAATCATAGATTGGAGAGGTAACAACATAAATCATAGATTGGAGAGGTAATAATATAAATAATGTTAATTGCAACTTAGAAATTGAAATATAACAACAGTGCTTTATGACAAGGCTTTTACCTCTAATAAAAAAAAGTGTAAAAAGAAACGCTGATTCCAGGGGTTAAGCTGAAGACCGGCCAGTTTCAGATTACAATAAATTGAATTGCATTCCTGCATACTCAGAATGAAGCTTCATTTAATAACGTTATAGTAGATCCTTTAAAAGACTATGCAGCTATGCTTATTTCATTCCCATTTTACATATTTTTGAAGCTAGCGGCAAGGCTATTTACTTTAATAAAGTATCCAGTTATAAATGAACATTTATATACAAGTGTCTTATTTTATTCTGCATGGCAGCAAGAGCTAATTTTGCAGAAATGGCAGGTTGTCGTAAATGACGCCCCGGGTTTATATAGTTAATTTTGTTTGCATACATAATGAATGAAATGGGAAAATAACATCCGAGACAGAAAAAAAAGGTATATTTATTACTTAGTTATTTTTCATTTGATTTATTTTTTTCATTTATAATCCATTTTTGGTATAAATTAAACCTAAAGTCGCTGAAGCTGATTTCTTAGACACCTAGACTACTCAGTTCCAGTCACGGTACTATTTCAATCAAGTCTTTGTTAATATAGTTGGTTCATATTACATTTCTTATTTTTCCTCCTCTAATAAAGAAAACGCTTACAAAATCGATGCTTTTCCCCAACTTTGTTCCTTGATATTTTTACCAGTTCAACTGGTTATATTTATAGTATATTTGAAGGAAAAAGGAAGACCCGTGTCTGACTACTATGAAGCCCTATCGCTTAATGTATCCCTTTTCTCTTTCACAAAGTCCTAATATAGTTTTAAGTTCTTTGCCAATGGTGTTTAATGATATAGCTGTGAATATATTCATACATATCTATATTTCCAAGAGACATTTTAATATAGTTTATTAAATCAACATGCACTCTTTATGAGTCTAGATAGACTGAAGAAGTGGATCCGGTTGATTGGCACGTTTTCGTCAGGTGAACTTAACGCGCCAAGAATAAAGCAACATGATCCTCCACTCATTTTCGTCGGCACCTTCCTGGACGAACTTAAGAGAACAACCTTGGTAATGTTATAATTATTCAATGTGGGTATAACACGTTTTCAATTCAAACATGTAACTATAATTATAAGGAAGATTTAGCATTAACACGCTTTATCAAAAACAGTTATTGTTGTTAAGATAAAATATAATACTTGTCATTTTCGTGCACATTGCATTTACACTGGAAAAAACCCACTATGCTTTTGTCTTTATATTTTTATATACAAAAACAATTTGGAATGTGAACTTGTTAGTTACTATTTCAGGACTACGACAAACGTGTACAGGCAATGCAGTCAAACATTGCAAAATTCCCCGAACTTTCAGCTCACAAATTCGTCAGGTTCTGCACAGCCGATAACAGCCTTGGAAATGATGACACGGAACTGGAAGTGTTGCGAGGTTTTATCATTGAAGCAGCCGTACACCAAGATCAATGGGACAGAGAGATCCCGGCCAGATGGGTGAAACTTGAGATGGACTTACTTGAAGCCAGAAAAAAAGGAACCAGGATACTCAAGTTTGCGGAAGTGATTGAAATGAACAAACGTTCTGTAGCCCCTTTACCGGACGAGGATGAGATGAAACTGGCACTGGAGTAAGTATGTCTATTCAAGTATTACGTGGACATAAATAGTAAAAATTTACGTTTACAGTATGTTTTTATTATCATTAAAAGGACAAGCATTTTTTGGATGTTCAAGTTTCCTGTTTTGACTTGTTATTCGTATTACTTGTTCGACGAAATAAGACGCTGGCGATTGTATTTAAAACCCCGGACACGTTCCGTGTCGAATTTCAATATCTATTAGACTAAATTTCGTTCATTTGGAGTCCTAATATCATATGTTTATCGGACCCGTCGATTTAAGATTTAATCGAGTAATTCAATTTGACGTGAAACATTATTTTCACAATAATACGAAAGTAGAGGATATATGGTGAAATTATTTATCTATATCCTAGTGTTTGGGATGTTTTGTGGAGTAATCAGAACTGTCACCTGCCAGTGCATTAAACGTCTTGACTTTGACGTCAACATGTTGATAACGTCTACAATCGACAAAGAAAATATAAAATCATGTATCCATTATCATTTAGTTAGTGCTACAGTATAGCACCTATTGATATTATGTAGTGTGTTGATGGAAGTCAATGAAAGTAAGAATGTATTTCTCTATAACACTAAAGCAATAATGAACAGAACGAAACCCCAAACCGAGACGCTTTGACGTTAAATTGCGATGTTAAAACTGAAACGTTAGATATTCAGCTATAGTTTGTATAGATCTTACTCTCAATCATCTGCCCGTGCAGTTAGAGGAGGTTTTTTTTACTAGAAACTAATCATTCAGTAACATGTATGGTTATATAGCATTACATTTCAATATGGATCGACCCTATTGACACATCAAAAAAAA